TCTACTGTAATCAGTTCCTTAAAATCCCTATAATATTGCCACATCACACATTTTCTGAGATTTTGAATTAAAAAAAAAACATAAACATTTTCAAACTAAATTGAATTTTTCTCACTTCCATCTAAATAGTGGAAATAGTGCACCGATTTAAGCACATTAGAAAATCCGGTAAATAGACTATTTAACGGTTACATTTCTATTGAAAAATTAGCCGGATGGTAAAAATTCGGATTCCTTCGTAATCATAAAAAAAAAACTGATAGTAAAATAGAATAAAACGTTCGAGATATCTTTTTAATGTTTAAAAGAAGAAACACTTTTTTATAGTTGGTTATTTAATGGCTTCATGCTGGCAAATAGACAAAACTTTAGGTTTTTATAACGACTAACAGCTAATATCACCTTTTTCAATTTAATGCCGCAATTTAGATAAGTGAGTGTGTTACGCGCGTACAATTCGCACCCCTCTGGGTCCCACAATAACCGTAGCCTATATATTCTTCCTCTTCTTCACTTCTCTGCTTCACAACTCCCAACAAACACACAAAAACAGAGCATCACTCATAACAAAAAAAAAAAGAAGCAAAACCCTTCTTTTTTTTTTTGTTAAAGCAAAAAAAGCAAAAAACCTCTTATTCGAACAATCTTTAATCCTCACAAAAATTCAAACTTGCAACGGTTTTTAGATACCCAGTTAGATAATTCGATTAAAAAAAAACTTATAAAAAAAAAACAGTAAACCGGAGTTTCTTCTCTTGTCATTTTTCGGCGAGTAATGGACAATAACGATGAGTTTAGTTTGGCGGAGATGAGACCGAAGAAGCGAGCTGGTCGGAGAGTTTTCAAGGAGACACGTCATCCAGTTTACAGAGGAATACGTCGGAGGAACGGAGACAAATGGGTCTGCGAAGTCAGAGAGCCGATTCACCAGCGACGCATTTGGCTCGGGACTTATCCCACGGCGGAGATGGCTGCTCGTGCTCACGACGTGGCGGCGATTGCTCTGCGCGGGAGATCAGCTTGTTTGAATTTCGCCGACTCTTCTTGGCGACTTCCGGCGCCGGAATCAAACGATCCCGATGTCATAAGGAGAGTCGCGGCGGAAGCGGCGGAGATGTTCAGACCGCCGGAGTTTGGGAGTGGAATTACGGTTTTGCCCTTTTCCGGAGATGAGGTTGA